ATCCCAAGAAGTTCAAAAAATAAAATCATTAAAAAAAAATTCGGAAAAAAATTTCATTAATGTTTATTTTTGTTTTAACATCAAAAAATGTAAAGAGAACCCATCAATGCTGGTGTGCAAGTCTGCCCAACTATGGTTCATTGTATAAGACGTGCTCTCCCACACATACACTGCGGCGTGATTTGTGTCTTCTAAAGTTTTACTAACTGTAAATACAAGTATGTAATTCTCCATTTTAGCAACAATTATTTGGCGATGCGAAGGAAACAGATTTGGCGATGCGAAGGAAACAATATACATATATATTTTTGTTAATGAGTTTATAATGAATGTTTATCAAATGTCCAATTATTCAAGGTAGGTCATAGCACATGGTATAATAATAAAAGGTAACAGCAAGTGTTGTTGTACAAAAAACGATACAACAACCACATGGAAATTTGTTGTTGTAAGTTCTACTAGTGTCAACTCATTTGACAGAAAAATGTAAACAAACAAACAAATTATCATCAAATTATTTTTATTTTGAAAATGGAATATTTTCGAATCCTCAAAATAAAAATTGAAAAACATGAATGAAAATTTATCAAATTTATATTTCTATCGCTTCCACATCTTTCCTTTAATTGAGCCATTGCCATATATATGTGTAACACGTATGAAAATGCTGGGAATAGCGAGTTATTCCTTCAAGAAAGATTTGCTTCCTCAAACTTTCCCAGCAGGCAGATTGAGTAAATTGAATACGGAAGTACATTAATAAAGAACAATTTCAAATTATATGCGTTCCCAATTTTCCTGTTGGGTGATTTTTAAAAACATAATTTGTCAAATTCATATTGACACTAGTATTACGTTGGAATCAAATCAGCTGGGATTTGCTGTTACCTTTTATAATTGTACCATGGTCATAGCATCTTAAAAATTACATTTTTTCATATTGTGGCTTGTTATGCCAAATGTGTGGCTGCGTGTGTAATGTTTTGAAGAATATAATAATAAAAAATATATTCTAAAGTCCATTTGTTTATAGATGAATTTTACAACATTGGTAAGAAGAATTTTATGATTTGTGTATAAATCAGTTTCTTAATTCGATTTTCAAAAGGAAGCCTAGCATTCCGTACATTCGCGGTTTTAGTAAAATTTTACACATATGCCAAATGGACAGACCGACAAGTTGCATTTGTTTTTATTCATTCTGACATTATATCCCACAACGTAGAGGTGTATAATTGTTCCATGGTTGTTCTAATTCATGCATACACCTTTTTTAAAACACCTTGATAATTATAAATTTGATAGTTTTTCTTTCGTGTTTTTAAATGTTTATCTGAATATTTTAAAAAATTTGGATATTAAAAATAAATAAAACATTACAAATTCATCAAAACTGCAAATATTGAGCTGTTAAAGATATTCAATGGTCGTCGTCATTGGTCAATCACAATCAACACTTCATTGCAGTGCAATTTTGCCGCTTTGAACATTCCAGACCAAATATGGTACGTAAAACAAAACAAAAATTCAATTTGGGTTGATGATTAAGCATTTTAGTCCATTTTCATGCCAAAATTTAGGCGAATTCCGCTTGAAATCATAGTCACAGAAACCTGTGGCGTATATTTATTTTATATTTGACAGAAGAAGCCACTACCTACATAGTGTTTTTTATTTTAGTATTATTGTACAATGACATGGCCTACCTTATAACAATTATACAATTTTATGCATGGTATAATAATAAAAGGTAACAGCAAGTGTTGTTGTACAACAATCGAAACAACAACCACAAAGAAATTTTGTTTTTGTAAGTACTACTAGTGTCATCGACACATGAGTAGAAATTTAAACAAAAACAAATAAAAAATATTTATACCAAGGTGTATTAAATAAGGTGTAAGTGACAATCATATGGTTTTAAACTTTTTTCTCTACTGCTTGTAAAGTAAATTGTCAAAAACATGTTCAACAATTAATTACGATTTACAAAATTGAATTTAAATTTAGGATTTTGATAAAAAATATGTTCATTGATTTAGTTTTGGCGATTTACGTCCACCAAACTTTCATTAAGGAGATGAAATTTGAAGGCAATTCTTCGAAAAAAAATTTAATTTACAATATAACCAACATCACCAGGAACCAAGGGATACACGTTGGAAACATTTCAAAATAATTCGTGGCCGGGTCTTAAACTTAAAATTGCAAAAAAAATCCAAGAAAATACAAATTCCTTAATTATTCTTCAAACAATAGTTCTCGACAAAAATTAATAAACGTAAATTAATAATTGTTTTTGTTTATTTTTGTCAAAAACTAATTGTCAACATGGCAATTTAATTTCTATAACAGCAATGTTGTTTTTGTAAAATGTTAGTTGTAGCTGATGCATACACCTTATTAAATACACCTTGATACCATGAATTTTATGGAGTAAATTTCTCCCATTACTAAAGCACTGGTAATAAATCTGCCATACGCTTTACACGTCGTTTTGGTGAACAAACGTGTGGGTATGAAACACAGCTCGTTTAATGAAAACAGCTCTCACCGTTCAGAACAACAATTTGACACATTTCAACAATCGGTTTGACAATTACGAGTGACAGTTCGTGTTTTGCTGAACAATTTCTTTTCACAGAGAGAAATCCAGTAGCAAATATTTCTAAAGAATAATAAGAATACAGCAAATGCTTACTATCGACTTATTTTAAATGCAAATGAGGAGAAGTGCTTCGAGAAATCAGTTCTAAGCGAAGTTTTGCAGCTGCTAACGCCAGTACGAGTTCAGTGAATAGTGTTAATAATGAAGTGGGAAAAAGAATAAGAGACATAACAGAATTCTTGGGATCCATACAGACATAGCATATACGAAAACTTTAAAGGAAAAGTACGACGAAATAAAAACTACAACAATGCATACTTAAATTACTGGGACAGTGAAACGAGTCCATTCTATGAATGAAAATTAAGCACAAGGATCGGAGTTGTGTTCTCGGACTACTTTCGACAAGACTGAACGGAATGTTATGCATATTTGTCATATAAAATATATAAGATTTATCGTGTGTATGTGAAAGATCGGTCCAATGTGTGAGTGTTGTTTATATGTATGTGGGTATGTACATGCGATGAAGTGAAATGTGCAAGTTAAGGAATGTTGTTGTGTGTGCATAATAATACACACATCGTATCCGAGAAATGCAATTAGAAAAGGCAAGGAGAGCGCAGTAGCATACCAACAACAAATACTTTGATGCAGACGAACAATACGCCGTGAAATAGGAAAACAAAAATATAAAACGAACAAAACCCTACGAATCTTGAACCAAACAAACTCCTCATGCCGAAGCAAGTTGTTCCTGCATCATAATAAAAAAATCATCTGTAATATATAAAGAACAGTCCTGCAAGTTTCTGGGAACAAATCTGACAAAAAAAACTGGTTGGTGTACATCCCAAAGTTGCCACATTATTGCCAATAAATCCTGCGAAACAGGTGCTGCTGAATGAAGACGTAAACAGCGTACACGCTGAAAGAAACAAAAGATTGTCTCGCATAAATGAACCAAAATCGTTATTAATTATTCAAATCGATTCATATAGCGTTTCCCCAGCCCTCGCCGAACGGAGTCATACAAGTTTTTAAACAATCAAGCAAAGCCACTTGATTCAAGTCGAAGCTTAGTTCGTTTTTTAATTATTGTGTTTGTACTCTCGCTCTCTCTCTCTTTTTCTCTCTTGCCCGCGAACTCGTCCAAATCCCCTGACGTCTCCGCTCGCGTGCCGTAACTGGAATAGGAAAACAAAAACGAAAAACGACTTAAAGCCATATTATATAGTGGGACGTAACATACCAACAATCGTGCGTCCATCTATGCACACAGATAGAAGGAACGCTTCTCATTATTAAACTCACGGTATTTACTTTTTGTTATTGTTATTATTTTCGACTTTACTATTTCAATAACTTTTCTTTTGCGTTTCAACCCAACACTCACTTTACTGTCACAAACGACGACACACAAACTGCTCACTGTCATCGTTTTCGGTTTGTTCTTGCGCTTGACTGAAAAAAATAGCGCGAACTTTGTTTTTCCTGATTTTTTGTTTTAGCTCCCTTCAATTAATTATGCATAGACTGATACAGACGATTAATTTGAACAAAGCCGACTGTAAAGCGATGAACCTATAACTTCGTATAAGCCTCGAGATTCGCCGAATCACTGCATTGACGGCGTCATCAGCAGCATCCGCAACATTACGAAGAGAACAACTAGAGCAACTTTATACTAGTTGAATATCAGTAACCACTATCGTGGTCTTTTACCCGACCGTAAGTTTTAAATTAAATATTTTATTCATTTCGTACATTTGGATACATTTCATTGAGTAGAAAAGTCGTCTCAATGACTAATATATTCGGACGACTCTTACATTAAAATTTGCATCAATAATATTTAAGTCTAAGTTTTGAGAGTGAGCCACAACTATCTGCCGCAATTTAAAAAGTGGGAGAAATGTCCTCATATCGCTTGCAAGCAGCACACAGAACACAGTGAAAACAATCCTTTGTATCCATGGATCAATCTGTGATCCAACGTATTTCAATTGGATGTGGATTTTCAATTGATTTATTTGTTCATGAATGGGAACCTAGCCACAAGGCCAAGATCGGTTCACAAAATCACTATCCATCTACAACTCCAAAATCTTAAACCTAACCATAGATTTATCTTAATATGTAAATAAATAATTAATTTAAATTATAACATTAAATCACAGTATCATATGTGGATTTTACTCTTTTACAAATTTACAATTTTTACTTACTAATGCGTTTTCTCATTTATCCTTATTTTCTTCCACAAACATGCTCGTGTAACAAACTTTTTCCTCCTTTGAAATGTGCTCTAAAAATGGTTGTCTTAGACATAACAGGCAGGCACTGTGAATTCTCGTAACAAAGTGGCAGGGATACAAATCTAATAAAACCCCATTAGATAAATATGGCGAATCCACGAAAATTTAGTGAAAAAATTGCATTGCAAAAGCAGAAGCAGGCAGAAGGCACTGCCGAATTTGAAAAGATTATGAACGAAGTGAAGGCCACACGTGTTTTGGAGATATCGCCCAGCAATGCAGATGGTACCGAATCTACTACACTACATGGTAATACAACTGTAGTGGCCAGTGGAGGCAGTGGTACGAGTAGTGGCGCTAGTGGAGGCGGAGCTTCTCCAGATACGAATGTCGGTGGAGGAACGGTATCTGGAAGTTCGCCGACAGCTTATCGAGAATCTCGAGGTCGTAGTATGGGTGGAGGACCTATGAGAAGACCATCCGAGCGAAAACAGGATCGTTCACCTTATGGTAGTACTGCGGGTTTAATTTTAGGTGTTATGACAAATAATACCCAAAATACCTACTTGAGTCCACCCATGGATACCAGCTGGCGCAGATCAAACTCGGATTCGGCCTTGCATCAAACGCTAAACATGGCTGAGGGTAACTTTGGGACATCGCCACAGGCTAGTGTAATGGAAGACCTTAATTCCTTGCATAGCAATTTCCAACATAATCTGTCAAGTCATCAACAACAACACCAGCATCTTAGCAATCGATCTCATTCACCGAATATTGGCCGAAGTTACAGTCCGCAAGCTCAAAGAAGAAAGAACACAATCCAACAGAACCAACATCAACAACAATTGCATATGCAACGATTACAAATGCAACAGCAACAACAAGCGCAACAACATCAACATCTACAGCAACATATACACAGCCAACAAATGCAACAGCAACACATGCAGCAACAGCAACAACAGTGCAATGCAAAATTCAACAACGCTGGAATACCGGGTAATGTTATGAATTACGCCAATACCGGCTCGTTGCCTGACCTCACATCTGTCCACTTCGCTGCCGGCTCCAATATATCACAAATGATGCAACCACAACAACAGACACTATCACCCATGTTATCCCCAAACAATGGTAACGGTTGTCAAGAACGCGACCAGTCGTCAAGTCCTTTCAGTCCGCCCAATATAGGGAGAAGCGGTTGTGGTCCACCATCTCCGTACCACCAACAGGAAAGTTCTTCATCAGCTGTAAACACATCTACGTCGAATAACCCACAGTCATCACCGCATTTGTCCTTCACAAATTTGTCTGTACAGTCACCAGTAGGTGTTACCCAACAAAACAACGCACAAAATCCGAATGCATTCAGCACCCTTCCCACACTTGGTGCGGCTAGCTCTACCGGCAACCTCACGGACTATCGACAGCCTTTAAACCCTCCCAGCCCAGGTTCATCTCCAGGTCTTCTGACGTCGGGACCTTCCAATGACATTCACACAAGCGCGCCTGCCAGTCCCATTAGACATTGTCCAAGCAACCAGGGCAACAGTTCAACATCTGGTGGTGTAGCAGGGGGCAGTGGACGACAGAATGCGCAAATGCAGCAACCAACATTTGGAAACATTGACTCTTCTAGCCAGGGGTACAACACACTTCATCCCGCTTTTCACAATCACTTCGAGCAATTCAGCCTAGGAGATAATTGTCAATCACCACAAAACTATGATACGCTGGAAATCGAAGACTATGTTGCTTCTGCAACTTCAGGTACGCAGCAGGCAATGCAGCATAGTTTTAACAATAAGTTGTTTGATTTGGGTGATATTAATTCGTCATCGGCTAACGCAACTAGGTCACAGAGCACAAATAACACAACAAACTGCAACAACAACAATAACTTATCGGGGACATCTAACGATAGTATCGCACTCAGCAGCTCGCAGCATTTTCAACACACAAATAATAACTCGACGGTAAACACGACAAACAGTAACGGTCCCACGTCGTGCAGGACAGCACTTATAAATAACAACGATAGGCAAGACTTGCTGTCGGCTAACTCCTCACCGATACCTTCGCCGCTTTCCCATTGTTCACCTTCGCCTTCGTCGCCATTACCAATACCAATGTCTTCACATTCTCCTGCTCACCACCAACAGCTGTCACTATCGGTGCAAACATCGCCACACCACTCTCCGTTGCATTCGCCCCATCACGCACCATCGCCGCTGTCGGTGTCTTCACCAGGTCTCACAATGATGGGTGGAAATATATCACCAGTGACGTCGCCTTCTGCTCATATTTTAAATCACCACCAACATAATCACCACAGTAACCAGAATTCCCAGCAGCTGCATCATGGTCATACGACCCATAACAACTCCCAACATCAACAACAAAACGTGGTACAGAGCGCAAATACCACCACAAATATACCCCAAATCATATTCTCCGATTATTCTTCATCTCGCGACATTTTTGATAACCTCGACTTGGATTTGGCCCAGATCGATGAGTCGAGCCTTCAAATGTTATCTGACCAAAATCCAATAATGATTGCCGATCCTTCAATAGAGGACAGTTTTCGTAGAGATCTTAACTGATACTACGAGGAAGCTGTTGCAGCTATAGAGAGTGGTATACTTCTGGAAGACTCATTCGATCCCCTAGGGCCATTGGTCGATGTAAAAGAAGTGCTCGGCAGTCCTCCATCTTCAACAGCATCAGCACTAGTCATAAACAGTAGCGTGGTAGGTGGCGATGTTATCGATGATAAAGACGACGACAACGTCAATTTGCATAAGGAACCCCTTGAAGACGACATCCTAAGCGTCTTGAACGCAGAGCACGTTCACGCCGATGAAGACGACGAAGTGCGTAATTTCCTTTTCTAAAAATGAAGCGGCTGCCTCTCCACCAACGAAGGGGTTACGAAAAAACAGAAACAAGCTTTCATATATTCCTCTGATGCACAAACAAAACGACCCGTCCCACACTTCCCCATGAAGAGAAACTGCAAGCACGGATTATCTTCTACAAATCATTTCACAGTGGCCCAAATTTTCTTCGAATTCATTACGTATTTGGAGTTCTTTTTAAGCATCCTCGATTACAAGCTAGCTTATAATATTATTATTGATAGTATGTATTCTTGTATGTATGTAGATGGGTTTTACACATCAAAACAGATACTTCTTCTGATATAAAACGTAAGTTTATTAGGTACTTTACAAAATAAGTTTGTATGATTACAATTTTAGAACGTAGAAATAAATAATACCTATTTCATTCGGTACAAATGCGAAACTAGGCCTCATAGCAGAACCAACACCAAAATTTTGAATTTTGTCAATCGCCATCACACAGCAGATACACAAATAAATTAACATGAATGTCTAATTGTACAATTTTCCAAAGCAAACCTCCAAAAGTGTCTTAGACCAGTGACATAAGAGCTAAGTAGGTCGACTAGAAATCAGAAAATTCACACATCAAATAATATCTATTTTCACCAATGTACGTGATTATTAAGATGTGTGCATTTTTTCTTCTTTCTTATTACTCCATCCATTGATTGATGATCGACTTACATTCATACCTAGTTATACCTTGAGAGATATGAGTACAGTGTGACTAGCTGTATGGTCAGCGGCCAAAATAGAGGAAAGTCTATTTTGGCCGCAACTTACCAAAAGTGAGTGTTGAAGTGAGAGCGGTATTTTCCAATAAACCAAAAAGTTGTTCTTTCCAATCATGCGATTAAAATGTTCTGAAAAATACTGGAAATTATTATTTTTGACATTCCCTTGCACCAGAAGACAATTTTCTATACTATCAATAGAAATACACACGCTATCTACATTTGCCGGTCCTACACGAAACCAAGAACATTACAACCCGAATATATAAGGAAAATTACCGTTAAAACAAACAACTAAAGGAAATATTATTTATTCTTAAAATAGTCATATTTTAAGTGATTAAATTAACCACGATACTATCCTACTTTACCGAAACCCATCAAACTACATGTCATTGAAAGCGACCATCCCACAGATGATAATTCATTTTCAAATCAAGCCATTTTTAGACAGCAAATATAAAACCGTGTCTACATATACAATTAAATATTTATATACATATATTGTAATTTTGACCATTTACAAGACCTTCGCCAAAGTTGGAACTTGTGTAAATAACATAAAGAAATACAATTGCTTTCTAAAAATTTTATATTACAAAATAATATTTGTGTTTTTTGATTATTGTTAATTTTTCTTCTCAAAGAGTTAATAAATGTATTCATTTGTTATCCATATATACTTTAAAATATGAACATATGAGACACATGTTTAAATGAAAATATATAATAACATACTTATGTAAGCTATAATGTATAATTGTAATATATTTAATAATTTAAAATAATAAAAGTAGGGCGAAAATCCCTTTTGTGTATAGAATAATAACAAAGTTATTTGTTTGAACCTAAATAAATCTTTAAATATAAATATACAGCAGATGTGTTTATATATTTTCTGGAAGTTTATATTTTTTAACAAAAAGCCAGTTTATATTTTTAACAAAGAAAATCTCACCACTTTGGAAATTCCCTCCACAACTTTGCAAATATACAAGAGATGATCCTAAGATTCTTATTGTAAGGTACAGTAAAATATATGATTTTCAGATTAAATTAAACCTTCTCCAAACTAACTGAAACCTTTTTTTCAAATTAAACGAAACCTTTTTCTATAACTAAATGAAATCTTTTCCAAATTAAATAAAACATTTTCTAATTGGAATAAAACCTTTTACAAATGGCATAAAACATTTTCCAAATATATATAAAATAATAAAAGCAGGGCGAAAATCCCTTTTATGTATAGAATAATAACAAAGTTATTTGTTTGAACATAAATAAATCTTTAAATATAAATATACAGCAGATGTGTTTATATATTTTCTGGAAGTTTATATTTTTTAACAAAAAACCAGTAAGGAAATCTCACCATTTTGGAAATTCCCTCCACAACTTTGGAAATATACAAGAGATGATCCTAAGATTCTTATTGTAAGGTACAGTAATATATAGGATTTTCAGATTAAATTAAACCTTCTCCAAACTAACTGAAACCTTTTTTTCAAATTAAACGAAACCTTTTTCTATAACTAAATGAAATCTTTTCCAAATTAAATAAAACATTTTCTAATTGGAATAAAACCTTTTACAAATGGCATAAAACATTTTCCAAATATAATATTGCTAGTAGTTTTAAATTAAAATTGAAATAAAATAATATTACAAATGTAGTTATGTGGTCCTGTAATTGTTAATTTGTGTTTTTCAGATTGATATAAATATATTTTAATTCATTACCTAATTTTACTACCAAAAACTAAAAAAATAGTATAAACTGGGATAGTTCTAGACTTTTTGAAATATAGGGCAAAACTAGGGATAAATGCTTGTTCTATGAACATTTAAATTTGAAACCTTTTTCATTTATAAAATGTTTCTTTTGACATCTTTTTCATAGAACAAGAATTGCATTATAATACTAAATACATATTTGTTTTAATATAATTGTTCATTATAATGTAGTAGCCTAGACAAACGACAGCCTTAATTCTCGTCTGTCAGGGGTAAATATTAATTCAAATTAAGAACTATTTAATGCAAATTAAGGTCGTCTGTCTTTGGTGGATCATAAATGCAGAAACTCTCGTCTGTCAGGGGTAAATATTAATTCAAATTAAGAACTATTTAATGCAAATTAAGGTCATCTGTCTGTCTTTGGTATAACTTGCTTAACCTTGCAACATGTGGAATTTTTAAAACCATGCCCATCGTGTAGTTAGAGCTATCTTGCCGAGTAAGCTGTTGAAAACTTCGTGCTATCACAACAATGTTATGTTCCATTGAAACGTCACACAGCTTGCGCAGGAATATATTTTTGATATTTTGATGGATAATAAGGCGTTAGGAGTTTAAAATTGCACCTTTAGGATTCGATCATATTGTTAGGAACAATTGTTTTTTCCAAAGACCTTCTACAAATATTTAAATTTGTCTGCATTTACACTTGAATTTGATTTTTTTTTTTTTTTTGTAATTACTCCTGCAATTAGACTGTACCTGGGACACGAAAATACCTTTGGTTTTTCTGGGTCACTTCGAAAATTTGTTTTATAACGGTAAATGTGTATATATAAAAATATGTATAAGTCATCCATTTTTAAACCGATTTTTTTGCTTTTTATCATTTTCGAAAGCTAATTTAATTTTCTTCCCCGTAATATAATAAAACGTATACGGCTTGATATCAAAATTTCATCGTACAGTCCGAAGAAATATAAATTTTGTTTTTTTATGCGTATTTTTTCAAATTTAAACCGCTGTAACTCAGCCAATACTCAACCAATTTACCAAATATATATCTTGTTTGAAAAGAAAAATTCTACTTTTCGAAGTAAAAAAGAATAATATAAATCCGTTAGAAATAAAAGAAATTATTCGAGTTTCAAATTGAAAATCTATGAAATCGCGTTTTTTTCTACATTTACCGTTATTAAACTTATTTTCTAAGTGACCCAGAAAAACCAAAGGTATTTTCGTGGTCCAGGGACTCCAACTAAACAGAATTGCTACATTAGAACAACAATTATTGACACAATTAAATATTAAAATAAATATATAGTTCCTATTTGCGATCAGGTGTTTAATTCTTGTTCTATGAAATTAGATATTAAATAGAAGTATATTTATGTTGATCTCAAAGAAATTCAGTTACAATGTTACAAGTACAGAACTGCATAACTGCATTTGTGACTATTCTATTTAATGTTCAAATTTTCATTAAAAACTACTTGAAATATTACTTTGCCCGTGTCCGATATATATATATATATATATATATGTGAGTGTAACGAAATGCATCGAGCGTACGAAATTTAAAAGTTCAAAACATTTTGTCGTAGTGGGTAATTTGAATACATTGTACATTAAATATTTGTTTCAGAACTAAAAGAATCTACCCACTTGTCCTATTTGTTCATATTATAGACGAAAAGGGGGTCAAGAACATACATTATTATTTTTTTAATTATGGTATTACTTGTGTCTATGGTAAATTGTATTTGAAAATATGATTCACACTCTGTTCGTTTTTAAATAATCGTCATCGTGTTTCTCCTCGATTACACCAAACGAAGACTTTCCTCCAGGCACATTCACATTCTCTAAATGGGTTTCAAAAAACTCTTCAACGGTGTCAGTATTCCATTTTGTAATCGAAAGAGTCTCCTGGACCGTGCCACTGTGATCCAATAACTTTACAATGGGGTCTAAACCTCGAACATATTTTATTGTCAAATTTGGAAACTTTGCCGGACGACCACTTTTAATAAAAGCCTGAATTTGTGGGTAAGCCCGGAACTTGCACGTACAAACTTCCAAAATAGCCTTTGGGTATCGGCGATCTGCTGCTGGCAATTGATCTAAGGTACAACACTCCTTACAATGGGGTCTGCAAATATATATGTATTAATAATAACATTCAAAAGGGGATATTTTAAAATATGTATACTTGAGAGCCTCTAAAGCAAAATCATCCAATTTATCACAACTTGAACACATAAGCTGACCCTTTATAAAACCTAGTTCTCGACAGTCTTGGGCTGTGAATTCCGTTACAACCAACGGGAGAATTACCTAAAAAGAAACAAGCATCAGCAAAGGTTATTTGGTCACTGATGTACAACTTACGACACAAATTATATATTTTAACATTTTAGGCATAGGAAGGCGATCTAAAACACGTCAATAAAAATTCTTACTGCATAAAATTCTTTCAGTAAAATCCCGTAAGTTTGTTGTTGTTCAACTGTCAAACTTGCTCTCTCACTTGACTCTCTTTTACTGGATTTTTGGGTAAACAGCAGGGATGGAAAATTCAGTACAATAGTACTTTTTTCAGTACCTTTTTACCCAAAAAATTACCGTAGTACCCCCGTGACCATTTCAGTACCATTCCAATCCTCCAATAACCACGATATATATGTATATATTTGTTTTTGGATAAGAATTTGTTATGGATTTGACCGGCAAAAGTATTGCAGATAAAGATACTGATGTGATTGCATTTTTTCCTTAAAAAATGAATGGGTTTACGACTGAAAACTGTTCAGTTATGATTATAATTACAAACATTAAATTAATTTATCAGTTCCAATCTTTTTTAACCGGATTGTTTGTCAGATACTCAATTTGGCGTACTCTGTGCTATCTCATGATTGATGACATTCATAGCCGTCGTGATTACTTCAATAATTTCAAGAGCACTTTGGAACTGAAATTCGTGTTAGTTTGGGGTATATTGACTTTCGAGAAAGAGGTAGTAAAATTAAAATTAGTCAATAGCATACATATTCAAATGCAATCGAAAGAAGCAAGAATTCTCATATTATTTCTTGAAAAAGTACTCTTATTAAAAAAGTTCTCTTTTGCTACCTTTTCACATTTTTCAATTTAGTAACATTTGGTAACAATTTTTACCAAATATCGAGTAAACAGACAGACATAAAGCCAGTCGCCAAACCTGTAGGGTTGTGTCCAATAAGCTATATGAATCAGAGCAATGATTTTGGGCGATCAGCTGTCAAAAATGTTGTGATTTGAAACAAAATAATAAAAAACATAAAAATAAATGAAAATCACAATTTTTTTGGGTTTACAAGGAATATACTCCCAACGCACTTGAATTACCTTATAAAATGTTGTGTCGTTCCGAAACGAACTCATTTAAGGCCGATTGAAAAGGTCAACCCGAAAGCAATCGTTATCGACCATTGAAATCTGTTTGTTTACATTAATTCAAAATAGAAAGCATTTTGACAACACGTATGAAACTATACGATCTTAAAGGGCTAACCAGATTGCTCGCGTTGAGACATCCGTCGCGTTATATGTTATCGAAAATACAACAACCACAAGGAAACGATATGCGTTTGTGTTATCGTTTCCCTTTAAAGCGGTGTACACACTATCATTTTTGAGTGGCACTCTTGCCCAAATTTTGCTTGTTTGATAGTGTGGCTTCACATGTTTGTCATTCATCAGGCAACCACAAAAATATTTATGGTTGTTGGACAGTCAGTAATCGATAAAAAAGTTGACAGTCAAAAATGATAGTGTGTACACGCTTAAGAGCTAAACAGAATGCTCGCGTTGAGCCATCCGTTGCGTTATGTGTTATCGAAAATACAACAACCACAAGGAAACGATAACACAAACACTCGAAGTTGATGTGCGCTGCGCTTCGGAGTTAAATATATTTTAACTTTTTGCGTGCGTTAACGCGATAAAGGGCTAAGCAGAATGTTAGTGTTGAGCGTTTTTTGTTATCGCGTTAACGCACGCAAAAAGTTAAAATATATTTAACTCCGAATCGGTTGTTGTATTTTCGATAACATATAACACGACGGATGGCTCAACGCGAGCATTCAGCTTAGCCCTTAACTAAAAAACGCTCAACGCGAATATTCTGTTTAGCCCTTAAAGGCTAAGCAGAATGCTCGCGTTGAGCCATCCGTTGCGTTATGTGTTATTGAAAATACAACAACCACAAGGAAAAGATAACACAAACGCTCGAAGTGGTTGGAGTTAAATATATTTTAAATTTTTGCGTGCGTTAACGCGATAACAAAAAACACTCACGCGAACATTCTGTTTAGCCCTTTAAAGGCTAAGCAGAATGGTCGCTTTGGACGTTTTTTTTTTTTTTTGTTATCGCGTTAACGCACGCAAAAAGTTAAAATATATTTAAAGGGTGGAACACATACGAGGATTCAGGCCTGACCTGCTAAGTTGGTTTGTATGAAATTCAATATGCATTTCTTTCTCTTTATTTCTAATTAGCGTACAAAACAAGAAACAAATGTGGGATACACAGAAAATACTATTTTTTTTATATGTGACATATGAGTTGAGAAAATATAAAAATGTATTAAAAACAATAACATTTTCAGAAAAAAATGAAAACATGAATGGAAAGTAAATAGCTATATTCAGTAGAGAGGGAATAATATCAACACATCAACTTCGAGAAACAAATGTGGGATACACAAAAAATACAATTTTTTTATATGTGACATATGAGTTGAGAAAATATAAAAATGTATTAAAAGCAATAACATTTTCAGAAAAAAATGAAAACATGAATGGAAAGTAAATAGCTATATTCAGGAGAAAGGGAATAATTTCAACACAACAACTTCGAGCGTTTGTGTTATCGTTTCCTTGTGGTTATTGTATTTTCGATAACACATAAAGAGCTAAACAGAATGTTCGCGTTGTGCGTTTTTTGTTATCGCGTTAACGCACGCAAAAAGTTAAAATATATTTAACTTCGAAGCGCACCGCACAATAACTTCAAGCGTTAAGGGCTAAGCAGAATGCTCGCGTTGAGCCATCCGTTGCGTTACGTGTTATCGAAAATACAACAACCACAAGGAAACGATAACACAAACGCTCGAAGTTGATGTGCGCTGCGCTTCGGAGTTAAATATATTTTAACTTTTTGAGTGCGTTAACGCGATAACAAAAAACGCTCAACGCGAGCATTCTGCTTAGCCCTTTAGTGTTATCGTTTCCTTGTGGTTGTTGTATTTTCGATAACACATAACGCGACGGATGGCTCAACGCGAGCATTCAGCTTAGCCCTTAACTCCATGGATGGCTCAACGCGAACATTCTGCTTAGCCCTTTACTGTCGGACCATTTGGTTTGCTTTAATTTTAATTCTGCAGCGAACTGTTGGACCTTTAGCGTTGTACACACTAGCACTTTTGAATGACACACTTGCCCAAATTTTGCTATCAATTGGTCTGTTCCCGTAGTGCAAGAGTCTACCAGATTTTACTATTTTCGTCGATTTAATAAAGGAAAATTTGTTATCGCAGTAAAAAGTAGTAGATTCTTGCAGTACGGGAACAGACTAAATTTTTGTTTGTTTGATAGTGTGGCCTCTCAAAAATATTCATCAGTCGACCTCAAAAATATTCATGGTTGTTAGGCAGTCATGGTACAATTATAAAAGGTAACAGCAAATCCCAGCTGATTTGATTCCAACGTAATACTAGTGTCAATATGAATTTGACAAATTATGTTTTTAAAAATCACCCAACAGGAAAATTGGGAACGCATACAATTTGAAATTGTTCTTTATTAAATGTGCTCTTGTATTCAATTTACTCAATCTGCCTGCTGGGAAAGTTTGAGGAAGCAAATCATTCTTCAAGGAATAACTCGCTATTCCCAGCATTTTCATATGTGTTACACATATATATGGCAATGGCTCAATTATAGGAAAGATGTGGAATAGATAGATATATAAATTTGATAGATTTTCATTCATGTTTTTCAATTTTTATTTTGAGGATTCGAAAATATTTCATTTTCAAAATAAAAATAATTTGATGATAATTTGTTTGTTTGTTTACATTTTTCTGTCAAATGAGTTGACACTAGTAGAACTTACAACAACAAATTCCCATGTGGTTGTTGTATCGTTTTTTGTACAACAACACTTGCTGTTACCTTCTATTATTATACCATGTTAGGCAGTCAGTGATCGATAAAAAAAACTGCCACTCAAAATGCTACTGTGCACACCGCTTCAAAGACACCACCAGCTGCATATCTGCTGTAAAAATCCATTGTTGTTAATTGACTTCCATTATTAAAAACGTAAAGAAATTCCAAATTGTAGCTGACTTTCGCTTGCTGGGTGACCTTATCTTCCTTGCTGGGTGCATGTCTTCCTCTGGACATGCGTAAGCGAATGGTTTCAAAAGTGAAAATAAATTATAATGATAGGCCTGTTCCTTAACCTGCAAGAATGTACAACTTTTTACTGCGATAATTTTTTTTCCTTTTTGATATCGAAGAAAATAGTAAACATTTGTAGATTCTTGCAGTAGGGGAACAGACCAAATATTTATTATAAATTTAAAAAACTGAATTTTTATCAGATGCCATAAATTTGTTAGGCAACTATTTGGAATTGTAACGAATTTTGTAGCATACTTTAAGGAGATGTCATTATTTTTTGTTGAAAAGCGGGGATAAATTTGAAATAGGGTTTGGAGCAAATCGAGATATTGTGTGGATTTAATTTGTGAAAAGATGGAAATTTACATGCTCATACTAGTTTATTAGTCACGATCCTAATATATACCAAGATATATGACCAGATATATTCCAATATAGGAAATAAATAATGTATACCAGAGTAAAACACACAAACAAGAATGCAACAGTCCCATTTGAAATGTTCAACACACATATGTATATTTTTGTTTATTCAGCAAATTAGCACATTTTTTAATAACAAAACACGTTATTTATATATTACCGCTTTCATGGTGCCTAAAAGTATGAATGTTATTATATACATTAGCGTTAATTAATTTCTACAAAACGTTACCTGGCGAAAAGCTCAGAAACGGATACTGGTTTTGGTCTTATTACCGGATGAGTTGTCGTAGTTTCCCTTGTATGTCCTGTGTGTAATTCTGTGTGTGTTGTTTCTAATTTATTTGGGTCGTGTTCGTGGTTGTTGTTGCCACTTTGTAATTTAACAATTTCACTTTCCTCATTTGGGAGTTTCTCGTCACTGCCAGTAGTAGATATTTCGGGATGTTTGTGTTTCGCCACTAAAGGCACTGGTATATCTCGTTTGTGTTGGACAACGTTTCTGTAAATATCTTCACGTTTTGCTTTATGATGCGCCTGCTCGGGTGGTATTGTGGGATAAAAAGGTTTGTTAGTCTCCCGTTTAAATTTGCTCAATTCTGTAACATCAGAAATAGGAATTATTTTTTCATCAGGTTTTGCATCTTTTAAAACGCTGGGATTGATTGGTGTCGGGAAGTCAAAATAACTTCCAAAGACGTTTGAAAATGCTGAGCTGATTACTAAAGCGTAAAATGCCTGAAATTAATAATGGGAATATAATTCAAGACGTTTTTGTAATTGCTTTAATACTTACAATAATCTTCATGACGTTTATAGCTTGAAGCACCTCACTTGACTAAACCGAATCAACGATAAACACAGTATTTTATGGTTTGTGACATGTATAAAAACGGACACAAATACATATATGTGTAATATATTAACCAGATATAAGTGCTAATTAAAGATTTCATGTGAAATTTCATAACATGCAGGAATGTCACAGATTCCGATCGGAATGGGTTTAATTTCGTATTTCCATTTTAATCGACCATGGTTTACATTCTCCAGATTCCGAAAAAAAATGAATTAAGACTCGACAAAATGCATTTTGAAAAAATAGTTTATGAAATATGTAGAGGATATCAGGTATAACAGAGACATTTCAAGAATAAAAAAGCCAATACGCGATAATGCGTGTAAATGTAAATAAAATCAGAGGTATGGACTCAAACTATATGTTTTCAATTTATGAGCTTATAGCACTATGGTATGGTGGAGGGTATTCAAAGTTCGGTCCGGCCGAACTTAACGCTTCTCCACTTGTTAATTCCTTTAAATCAAGGCAGATTAAATTAAGTAGCCGCCAGGTACAATAATACAAGGTAGGGCAGCTTGAGGTGAAGAACAACAAGTTAAAAAGCGTTAAGTTCGGCCGGGCCGAACTTTGGATACCCTCCACCATAGATATACTAAAAGGTAGTTGAAATGAAAATGTAGGGAAAATACCAAAACCATAATGTGAACCATGTTCCAGAAAATGTTGATTTCATCCAACCTGTGCCTATCTTATTATTCTTCCAAACTTAGTTCAGGTTCGAAAATGTGGACTATCGGTCCGAAATGTGGACCTATACTCATAATTTTTTGTGGAGAAACTTGGTACCCAATAAGAACCCAACGTATCAAATTTCAGCGAATTCAGTTGAAAAACTCGGTCAAGAACCCCAAAATACCGAAAATTGGGGGGTACCCTTATATGGGAGCTATGCCTAAACGTGGACCGATATATCCTATCTTCGAACTTGACCTGCCTGCAGACAAAAGACAACCCTATGCAAAATTTCAGCACCCTATCTCAATTCCTTCAGAAGATAGCGTGATTACAACAGACGGACGGACATGGCTAGATCGTCTTAGAATTTTACCCTGATCAAGAATATATATACTATATAGGGTCGGAAATGAATATTTCGATGAGTTACAAACGGAATGACAAAATTAATATACCCTCCATACTATGGTGGAGGGTATAAAAAAGCAACTATGTACGTGATGACTTCTTCTGCCAAATATAGTCCTGATTTATATTAGGCGAGTTTACTCGCGGCAATTTTTATCGTTCTCTTTTGAACTTGATCCATGCGTCTATACAAGGCAATTCGGTTTCCAAAAAATTTTTTTATTTGTTGTTTTTTCACATTTAAATATATGTATGTATATAAAATGTCAACAAATACGAAATACACAAAACGAATTGCCAGAAAATTGTGTTTTTTTTTCATTTCTATACCCCTTGCCCCTCTCTCCTACAAACAAAGACTTGCCGCAAGTAAACTCGCCTAATCTAAATTGAGACATAAAATAAATATATGCAACAACTGGTTGTGTTTATTTGACATTTTTCCAACACAATACGAAAACTGAATGAAAGGTTATGATTTTTTTCCAAAATCCAGTAGACAATACCATGAAATATTTATTTCATCGATAACAAAGTAATTACTTCCAGACGAACGCGTTAAAACATCATTTCATTTCAATTGAACTTGAATATATTTCACTTTATTTTGATTTGATGGAACAAGTCACCTTGAGAAAAAATTGTAATCAGTTGGTAGTTGTGCCCTACTTTGTAATAATTAGACCATGCGTCGACGTACGAATTTTCAAAGTTGAAAAAATTCAACTATGACAGAACGTAGATTTGTTTTTCTTTGGTTGAAAAAAGAAACAAAACAAAAAGAAAATATATTTTTTCAAAATAATAATAATAATACGGCAGTACAAAACATTTTGCCATAGTGGGGAAGTTAAATATTTTTGTAAGCCTATAAATAAATCTGATCCCATTTTGACCAATATCAATAGGGCTAGTCTTTGTGCCAAATAAAGTTTCATCCCATTCGGATGGAATGTACCAAATTTCATCATCCATGATACCGATTTGTTGTATAAATACGACAGTGCACACCACTATGCCAACCATAATGGAAGGGAATATATTTATGTTTCTGAGTATCTGTATTGTTAACTGGATTATTTTTAATTATATTTAAATTGGCATTTGAGTTTATAAATTGTCTTCTATTGTACATTTAACATATTACTTTTTCCAAAAAAAAAAAATATGATATCAAATATAATGTATAACTAAGCTTACAGTGATTACATGGTTTAGTCGCATCATGACTGCTCCAGATTATTGTCAAAGTATATGCTAGTATTAAAAATTGAAATAGGCTGGTAATCATTGTTGGCAACTGATATTGTTGCAGTTTCTTCTGCATTTGTCGTTGGACCCGTCAGAGTCTTCGTCATCAATGGTTTCAATAGTAGACCTTTCAGACTGTATTCTGTTACATTAAGTTCAAGTTCTGTTAACTCGATCGTCTTTTCCATTTCATTTACATTATCGTCTACTATTTGGACGAATTTCTCTAAGTCATCAATTCGATTCTTTAGAATAATAAAATTTGGACCAAAAGCTAATACTCCACTCGCATACTGGTCGACGATTATATTTGATTCTGCCTTTACCTGCAAGAAAATATAGTTTGGTTAATATACCTACTGACATTAGTCTAGTTTAACTGAAACTCCAGGCATGACATCGGTGGATCTTGTTGTGGTGATATGATCACACACAGATCTATCAAATGTGTGCCTAGATATCATTTGTCATATAATTCAAAGTCGACGCATTTCGAATACTGATTGAAGCCATCCTGAACATTTAGAATGCAATATTACAAATAACAAAATATGTGATATCTTTCGATAATTTCAATTGATATTTTGAATAAGGAAGACTTCTGAAAATTATTCTAAACGTCGATATTTCTCTCCTACTTTACATTAGCCAAAAGTGATTCCAGCTCATCTAGCCGTGTTATCATGTCCTCAATGCTCATACATATCGGATCTACCTGAAAGTAAAGTAATAGTTAAATGTAGCATAGAACCTATCACAATTTTGAACCTCACTTACCTCCTTCTCCAGACTAACGCTTTGAAACACGTTGGAAAAATCTCGGGAGGCTTGATCCATTTTAAATGTTGTATCCCAATTCCAATGCAATCTATTCGAAATCCAATAAATTCCAACCAATTCGCAAATCTAGTAAATATGCCAAAATTAGATGGCAATACTTCAAAATCAACATAAAAAAAGTTTACAAAGAAAGCCATTTTGTTTTGTGCTCTCTTATGGTCTGTTCCCGTACTGCAAGAATCTACTCGATTTTACTATTTTCTTCGATATCATAAAGGAAAATTCGTTATCGTAGTTAAAAGTAGTAGATTCTTGCAGTACGGGAACAGACCATTAAATTTGATTCAATGCTTTACCAGTTTTATGGGTTCAGGAACGGTTTTCGAGTAAAAAGTTGCAAAACTTGTAAAATTAGTAGATTCTTTTAGGTTTTGGAACGGAGCTAAAATAAAAACGACGACTGAAAAAATTGAAAAACGTTCCACCTGCTAACGAATGGGAGGAGAAGACAAAATGGCCGATAAAGATGAACTCAAAATGGTATAACCGAAAGTTTACGAATGAGGTGGGATAGAGACTAAATGGAAACCGTGTTGTTTACGAATGAGGTTTAGGTATGATTAGGGATAAGTAAATCGACTTTCGATTAATCGACTTTTTGTATTGAAAAGTCTAATGCCATGTACAGACGAGCGTTGTTCCCTCTCTCATTCGTGGTTCGACTCTTAATTATGAAGTAATTACATAGTTCAAAGGAACTACATTAAGGAACTAGTTCCTTTTTAAAAAAGAAACGAGAATGATCGATCCGCTACGTGAACTAGATTGCCCAACTCTAAATAAATTCCAACCAATTCGTTTAGTGTTTTGTAGTTCGTGAACGACTTAGCGGGGTTTTACACTGTTGGTGATTGGGATTGGTGATGAGAGTTTTTCTCTCTCATTGGTAAATTGAGAGTAATTATAGTTGCGCTATTTTTAATTTTGTAACAAGCGTACTTTTTGTTAACAAAAGGTACGAATTTACATAAACGTACCAAAACAAAAAATAGATTTTTTTATTATTCGTGAATACATGTACGCTTAAATTATAATATATATTTTTTATGCAAATACCTGTTATTTTTCTCGATAATTATGATTTCTTATAATTTGAAGTAAAATTTTAGGTACCTTTTCGTACTTTTTTTGTTCCTACCTGTGGCAATGTTTTCCAACTCTATTCCCAATTTACCAATGAGATAGAGAAAAAACTCTCAACACTAATCCCTATCACCAACAGTGTAAAACCCCGCTTAGTAGACAATAGAAATAAGTAAATCGACTTTAGACTAATCGACTTTTGATTTTTGAGGAAATCGCAAAGTCGACTTTTAAAATCGATTTTCCATTTTTGAGGAAATCGCAAAGTCGACTTTTCAAAATCGATTTTCGATTTTCCTTATAAAGGGCTAAGCAGAATGCTCGCGTTGAGCCATCCGTCGCGTTATATGTTATCGAAAATACAACAACCACAAGGATACGATAACACAAACGCTTATCGTTTCCTTGTGGTTGTTGTGTTTTCGATAACATATAACGCGACGGATGGCTCAGCGCGAGCATTCTGCTTAGCCCTTAAATACTTGACGCCATGGTATAATAATTACAAGGTAGGGCACAGCTACCAACTGATTACAATTTTTTCTCAAGGTGGCTTGTTCCATCAAATCAAAATACATATTTTGTGTATGTATGTGTATTGTTTTGAATACTATGTCAAATAAATTCAAATTAAATTTAAATATATTCAAATTTAATTGAAATGAAAATAATGTTTTTAACACGTTCTT